CCTCCCCTCTCCCCAAAGCCCCCCGGGCCCCCTTAGCTGCCCCCGGCCCCGCTGACAGCCGTGTCCCCAGGGTGGACTCCATCATGCTGCTCGAGGAGGGCTTCCAGGTGACCAGCGTCGATGCCAGCGACAAGATGCTCAAGTACGCGCTGAAGGAGCGCTGGGAGCGGCGCAAGGAGGAGCCCTTCGACCGATGGGGTGCGGGGGTGCAGGGGCCGGGAGGGGCGTGCGGAGACCAACACCTCCACCCCGGCCTGGGGGCCTCTGCCCTGACCCCCTCCCCTGGGGCACCAGGTCCCTCACGTCCTGTCCCCAGCCCCTCACCGTGCCCAGGCCCCTCGCCTGGGTGCCGCTGGCCAGGTGGCCTTGCTGCAGGGACAGGCAGGGCCCTGCCGGTGCTGGCTGCTCGGCAAGCCCAGGCTGTGGCCTTCACCTGCCTGCTGGCCCCAGGCTGGATCCAGCACCTGCAGGGGCCAAGGAAGGGCTGGGGTGGGGTCTCGCATGCAGGGGAGGCTGTTGGGTAGGTCAGGTGTCCCTGTCCTCATCCGCTGTCTTGTACTGCAGTCATCGAGGAAGCCAACTGGCTCACACTGGAGAAGGACCTGGAGAAGCCAGGGGACGGGTTTGATGCAGTCATCTGCCTGGGCAACTCCTTTGCACATCTGCCTGACTTCAAAGGTGAGTTGTTGGGGGGCGGGGGGTGTTGGGGTGTGTGTGTACCTGTGCACATGTGCACGACATCTCCCAGCAGGCTGAGAACGTGCCCTAGCTCATGCTATAAGCAGGGCAGTGGATTATGCATGGTGGAGTTGTTGCATCATGGCATGTCTCCAGGGAGGCTGAGAACATGCCCCAGTTCATGGCATGAGTGGGACCATTGGGTCCCGTGGTAGTGGAGCTGTGTTCATCTATGTCATATCTCTGGCAAGGCTGGAGACACACCCAGACTTGTGCCACAAGCGGGGTGGTAGGTTCCCGACATGGCATACTCTGCCCCCAGTGAGGCTGAGAATGTGCCTGAGCTTAATACCATGGGTGGGGCTGTGGGTTCCCCAAGCTGAGACTGGGGTGGAGGAGGTGGTGGTGGTGGTAGCTGTATGTGTGTATGAGAGATGGGGCCCCCATAGACTGTGCCACAGGGTGCAGCCAGTGCCTGGGGACACCATGGTCTCCTCCCCAGGGGACCAGAGTGACCACAAGCTGGCCCTGAGGAACATCGCCAGCATGGTGCGGCCTGGAGGTGTCCTGGTCATCGACCACCGCAACTACGATCACATCCTGGCCACGGGCTGCGCACCACCCGGCAAGAACATCTACTACAAGGTGGGTGGATGGCAGACCCTGCGCCATCCCAATCCCAGTCCCCTGGCCCCAAGGGGACCAGGCAGGGCAGGGAGCAGGGCTGTGCCCAGGCTGGGGACCACCGAGTCCCCCGCAGGCCACAGACATCCTCCTGTGGTCCCCAGAGTGACTTGACCAAGGACATCACCACCTCGGTGCTGCTGGTAAACAACAAGGCGCACATGGTGACCCTGGACTACACAGTGCAGGTCCCCCCCACCGAGGCGGGGGCTGCCCCGGAGCTGAGGTGAGAGGGGCTGCAGGGGTGGCCCCTGGCACAGGGGGGTGGCTGGTGCCATGACCCGCTACTCTCCTCTCGCCATCTCACCATTGTTGCCTCCTTGCAGCAAGTTTCGGCTCTCGTACTACCCACACCGGCTGGAGGCCTTCACAGCCCTGCTGAAAGGCGCCTTCCAGGGGAAGTGCCAGCACAGCGTCCTGGGCGACTTCCAGCCCTACACACCAGGGCAGGCCCACGTCCCCTGCTACTTCATCCACGTCGTGAAGAAGACAGCCTGAGGTGGCCACGGAGATGAGACTGTGGTGGCTGAGAATGGCTCCAGGGACAAGCAAGGGGCTGGGGACATTGCTGAGAGCCACCTTGGAGCCCCTCCCTCCCATTAATTAAGAGCGCTTGTGAGAGCTACCGGAGCCCGTGGTCCGTCTGTCCATGTGTCCGTGTATGTGTAGGGTATGGGTCAAGGGGAATGGCTGCAGCCGCCTCAGGACTCCTGGGGAAGGAAATGCCCAGCCTGGGGGGGGGAATGGGGTGGGTGCAGGCACAGCCTCACCCCCAATTACCCACTGCAGGTGCTAGTCATGCCTGTGGTGTGGGGTTTGGGGCTCCCCTTGAAGCAGAGCCAAGGGTGGGCTGGCTCCTGGCTGGTTGCACATCCCTGCCGAGCCCACTGCAGCACCACTCACAGGGGTGTACTGCAACTGTTTGTTCCTCCTTGTTGCCCCCCAACCCTCTTTTCTTGAACCCCCTCAGCACCATCCAGGGGTGCCCACGCCTCTGCCGGTGCTCCTGGGGTGCGGTGGGGAGGCTCTGCACAGCCCACTGGCGCTTTTGCTGTGGCTGCAGGTCCTTCCTTGCCTGCCCGGGGGAAGAGGTGGTGGCCAGATCCAGCAGCGCGTTGCGGTCAGGGACAGCTCTGCCTGAACACGCTCAGGTGCCAGAGCAGGAGCAACAGGGCTCGAGGCACACATCAGCTGAATCTTCCTGCACGAACACCCACAGCTGCTGGAGAACCAGCCCTTTGGGGAGGAGCTCAGTGGGGAGCTGGTCCTCTCGACAGCCGCGCTTGACTCAGGGACACGACTGCCAGCAGTCTCAGGGCAGGCAGCAGCGGGGCAAAGCCTGGACGCAACAAGCCATGGCTTAACGCGGGGTGGCCCGTGAGCCACACGAGCAGCTGCAGGGACCTGGCAGAGGCAGAGGCAGCTGCCGGCCAGCTGGCTGCCACACACGGCTCAAGTGGGGATTTATTTGGCATCAGGAAGCCAATTTGGCACACGCACTGGTGGTGGCAGCTGCCGCGAGGCTGCAGAGGGAGGTGAGACAGGACTTCAGAGGCGCTCAGCAGAGGTTAGTACAGACAGGGCAGCTCTGGGCTGCTACAGCCAAGGGTTGAGTATTTCCCAAGGTTGCAGCCCTCCATCTCCCCATGCTAAGTTTTTCCTAGTATCCAGTAAGACTTTCCCTTGCTGCCACTTGTCTCTTGTCCTGTCACCCAGCACCTCGAAGAAGAATTGGGCTCTGTCTGCAGAGAGAGCTCAGCTTCCAGCCGAGCAAACCCCATTCCCTTGGCCTCTCCTCATCCGATGGGTGCTCCAGCCCCTCTCGCAACCTTTGCCGGACAAGGGTGGCCCCAGCCCTGTTCGCGGGTGTGCTCCCCCCTCCATCTGCAGGACAACGGTTTCTCTGCAACACCCAGACCACCCAGGGGCTCGCAGGGACCTTCCCAAGCCCACAGCCACCATCAGCAAGCAAAGACCTGGTAGCGAATACCTAGTGCCAAAAACCTGTATTTATTCAAAGAGATGACGTCGAGCCCAGGCCGGCTGCAGCAGCACTGCCTTGTGTCCTGCCGCCTTCCAACCAGTGCCCCTCACTGGGGGCTGACACCCCAATAAGCAACTGCGCCCAGCACCCCTCTTGCTGCTAAATCAGGGGCAGTTTGGGCCTTGCTCCCCCACCAGTATTCTGTCACCCATGGAGACACTCCTACATTGCCCAAAACCATGAGATTCAGCTTCCTTCCCTTGGGGACATTACCCCAGTATGCTCCTGGCAGCCACAAAGTGCTCCCCGAGATGTGAGGGACCGTTAAGAGAACCCATCACCTGCTTGGCTGAGCAGAGCAGCACTTCCATTGGGCTTTGGCTCAAGAAACTGCTCGGCCACTTTTTCACCCAAGCTCAAAAGAAGGGGCCCCAGGAGACATCAGAGGAGAGCAGGGTGTCCTCTTGCACCCCTCAACACACCGTCCCCATCACTCCTCAGTCCCAGCTCTGCTGAGCATTAGCAGGCAGCAAACTTCTGCTGGATGAGTCTGTACCTGAGCAGCTCCTGTTCAGAGACTGATGGCTGCAACCTCGCAGCAGCCTGCAGGAAGTCCTCCATGGTCAGGATCAGAGCAGAGCTCTCAGTGTCCAGCCCTGCATGAGAGAAAAAACAGGAAAAGGCTGAGCAAAGAGAAGGCCGGCTGGCAAGATCCAACAGCCCCCTCTCCAGCCACCGGAGGCTGGAAGGAAAACCCACATCTCTCTCCTTCCCCCTGGGGCCAAGCACTGGAGGTGAAGATGATCACATCTGCAGGAACTGCCTGCCTGCTGGTAACCCAGAGCCTAGCATTTAGACGTGGTCCCAAAGCTGTCGAGGCTCTTCTCACATGGCCAAGTCACCAGTAGTGGTAACTTTCCTCTCTGCCCCTGCACAGGGCCAGCCCAACATGTGGGACAGGTAGGGGCCAGGCTCCTACCTTCCTCGATCCATTCCACCTTGCGTTTGACAGCGTACATCATGGCATCCGAGCACAGGGCATAGATGTCTGCTCCTGTCAGCTGAGCTGGGCATTTTTCTAGGATGGTGGTGAGATTCACAGAAGGATCCAGTTTAAACCTGCCAAGAGAGAAAACTGAAGGTGTAAAAGCCACAGAAAAAAAAAAAAAAAACAAACCAAACCAAACCGGATGAGGAGAGGGGCGGCAGCCAGTGTGACTGGGCAGGAAGCCCCATGTTTGGCTGCTTCTGGACTGTGCTCTGCATGCTCAAAAAAAAAAAAAAAATCAAAGGGGGTTGTTTGTTTGTTTTTTCAACATAGTCACTTCTCTTAGTCCTATCTCCTGCTAAGTAGGATCAAAGGCAACTTTGAGTTCACTCAGAGAAATTAAGTGCTCCACATGCCTGGGAACAGCCTACAGCCAGGGCTGGATAAGAACATGTTTAATTACAGACAGTACAAACCACTGCAACACCAAACCGTCCCATCGGAGCCACACCGCAGACAGTGAGCCTCCTTCAGCATGAACAGCAGCACGGTGCTGGAGGACACGACTGCCAAGCCACATGGCGTGAATAGATGCTCGCAGCCAGCCCACGCTCTCGCCTCTCCTGTTAGCTTATCGTCACAGGCCGCAGCGATCACAGCTATCCATAGCAGAAAGTCCCTGCAGAGGCAGATTCACAGCTGCTCACCCAGCTGTGGTGGGTGGTACCTCTGCACCTGAATGCCAGGGCTCGCTTTTCTCCCTTCAGAGATGCTCTCGGGAGCTCAGAGCAGCTGGGGAAGCAGCCAAACCCCACTGCTCAGTGATCCCACACAACCAGTGTTTGGAAAGACACACAGAGCTGAACACTCCTGAACATTGTCGGAGGAGTGGCAGTTAGACGAACGGAGGCTGCCTTCACCCTTGAACATGGAAACAGCAGATGTGCTAGGGGAAAGCTTGCAGGAAGCAAATGGGAGCTTCCTGCCACGCTGGTGCGCTGCAGTCCCATTGCACTGGTAGGATCTGGCTGAACTCCTCAAGAAGAGCATGTGGGCCCGGTGACTGGAGAACTCTATCAACCCCTCCACCTGGACAGCCAGCTGAGCTGCTCCCACCTTGTAGGAAAACCAGCCCCAGTTCTGCTTCCGAAAGTTGCTCCATCCTCTTCCCCTACCTGCTGGCTGTGGGTCAGTGACTCAGGCGCTCGCCAGGGCTCAGACACGAAGCCAAGCTGGAGCACACTATGCATCAACCCCAGGAAGACTGTAACCCATTGGAAGGCGGTGGAAGGCTATGGCGAGAGCACAGGGTCACTTACTTCCTGGTGACGGCGCTTAGCACCTGCAGCTGGGACTCCCGGTCTTCGTTTATGCCCACATAGACCAGTTTGTCAAACCTGTCAGCAGAAAGAAGAGACAGTCGAGAAGAGGTCAAGACAAACCTGCCATCGGTGCTCAGCCATGTGCAACAGAAACTGAAGGGTGGCCCTGGAGCAGCTCCTTTTGCTGCCAAGTTCGTGAATGACACTAAAGCCTGAAGGGGAAGCAGTCAACGTGCTGGAGGACAGGGCTTCTCTTCAGAGGGACTTGGGGCAGGCTGGAGAAATGGACTGATAGGAACCATGTGAGATCCAATAACAGCAGATACAAAGTCCTGCCCCAGGATGGGCAAGCTGCAGGCAAGAGGAGAGGCCCAGGGGCAGCTCTGCAGAACAGGGCTGAGGGGACCAATCCCTCCCACCAGTTTGGTGCCACAGCAGCTCCTTAGTGATCGGTTCTGATGCTGGGGCAATAACCAGAGTTCTGGGGGATAACAAGCAGTGGTATCTTGTGCTGCTGCTACAGCCACAGGCACTGGCCTCCTCTTGGCTTCCTATCTCCCCCACAAGCCAGGGCGGGGGGCGCTTCAGGAACAGTCTCTGTGGAGGGAATGTGGTGGGGACACAGTCCAGCTCATCACTGCCTGAGGAGCTCCAGGGAACTACTCTGGAGCGAGGCAGGGTAGGATGCGACATACCTGCCCGGCCGGAGCAGAGCTGGGTCCAGGAGGTCAGGCCTGTTTGTAGCTCCAATGACAAATACCTCTCTGGTGGAATGAAGGCCATCAAGCTCAGCCAGGAGCTGTGAGACAACTCTGCAGGGAACAAGACAGGACACTCACAACTAGGCCTTGGCAAGTCACCCACTGTCACCCTCAGCCACCAAACAAAAAGAGGAATAAGCGAGACCACTGGCAGGTCCATGTCTTGGACTTCAGCTCATACTTCTGTTCCCTGAAGAGCCCTAACACAGCCATCCAGACTTCTCTGTTTAAGCACAGCCAGCGAGAGTGTGGGCTCATTGCAGAGCACAAACCCCTGGTTCCAAGACAGTCCTTCAGGCCTGTGCTTGGCTTTGCACCCTTCCAGGATGGCCACACGTGCTTATACTTGCTATCAGACATGGGCAACACAGAGCAAACATAGGCAGGCACTCATGGCTATGGGTCAGGTTCCCCAGTCACACGTGCTGGCTGATCCTAACTCTCCCCGCTACGTGGTACTCCCCAGCAAGTTCAGCTGCAAGACTGCCCTGTCACTGCACGCCAGGGACACATTGGCAGGCCAGTGACAATGCCAACCAGTTCTCAGGGTGGTGAATGGCACAAGTTGCAGATCTAGCTCTGTGGCCACAGGGTTTAAGCTGGCCTGGCAGCACAGTACTTCAGTGCTGCATAGACCTCCTGGAATGGGGATATCTCCACTAGGTTCTGGCATCACCCAGGGCAACCAGTGGGGACCACACCCAGCCCATTCCAGAGCTGCTGGCTTGTGTGTGTGAAGATGGATGCCAGGGACACATGGTGCCAACTAGAAAACTCTGCAGAACCCCTCACGGATGGAGAGGGAGATTGGATGGGGACTATTAGCTCATCAGAAGAGGCCTGGGGAAAAATAACCCTGTTTCTGGGTATCTCCAAGCTGTACATATTTTGCTTCTACTAGAGGCAGCTGAAAGGTTTCCCACCACAGTGAAACAGCAGCTAATAGGAGGAGAGCACGGCAGGGGTGTGAAGGATGACCTTGGAGAGGCCAAAGGGAGCAGTTGGCAGCCACAGAAGCAGCTGGAGGGGACTCTGTCTTAGCCAAATGTTTGCACAACAAGCTTAGGCAATCAGGAATCTGTGGCAATGCAAACAGCAGTACTCATGTCCAGAGAGAGGAGACAGGCCATGCAGAGGAGCTGAAGGGAGCAAGGGAGGGAAAAAGGAGAGGAAGAGATTTGGGATGGACTCTGCCTCGCAAGGCAATCCTGTGCATCCCCCCCAGCTGAGGCAGGTATACTGCTCTCCCAAGGAGACGTAATGCTCACTCACCTGTCCATGACGCCCCCTGAATCTCCACTCCGCCCGCGACTGGGGGCCAGGGAATCCAGTTCATCAAAGAAGATAATGCAGGGAGCAGCTGCCCTGGCTCTGGCAAACACTGGGAAGAGACAGCACAAAAGGTGAGAAGGACCTGGAGGAGCAGTCAACAGCAACAAGACCTGCTACATCCCCAGTAGAGAAGAGCTGTGGATGGAAACCAGCTGCCCACTGCCTCACCACCAGCAACTGCTCCTGCCTGAGGGGCTCAGTGGGAGTGGAGACAAGCAGCACCCAGCACCATGGGCCCCGAGGCTCAGCTATGTCTGAGGGGCTGCCATCCCACCAGGAACACCAGTGACAAGAGCAACAGGCACAGAGAGAGTGGGAGGGGAAGCTGCAGCAAGGCAGGGAACAGACTGGGTGTAGGAGACATTTGAGTTTGTGTCCTTGTGGGCAGCTGTGGGTGAGAGTTGGGAAGAGGGGTTTAAGCGCTACCTCCTTCCCTCCAGCACCACAGAAAAGCCACATCTCCCCAGATGCAGGAGCAGGATACATCTGCTCACCATTACGCACATTCTCCTCGCTTTGCCCAACATACATGTTGATCAGCTCTGGCCCTTTCACGCTGTGGGAAAGGGAGAAGAGGGAGCCAGTTAGAGCATGCCCATCCGCTGCCAGGAGAAAGTCAGTCCCATCGCATGAACCCCGACTCTTCACCTAAGGAACGTCATGGCACACGTGGTTGCCACGGCTTTTGCCAGCAAGGTCTTCCCTGTCCCTGGAGGCCCATACAGCAGCAGACCCGAGCGGCACAGACCCAGTGACAGCAGCTCCGGGTGCTCCAGGGGCAACTGGATAGTGTCCAGTATCTCCTTCTTCACCTCCTGGAGCCCTCCAACATCCTGCCACGACACGGAGGGGATCTGCCAAGAGAGGAAGAGTCCCTGTCAGCATTTCTTCCTGAGCCTGGAGCAGGCCTGGAGAGCTCTTGCTCCAGTCATCAGGCCCTGGTGCCATCAGCTGTGTCTGGTTGTGCAGCAAGTCGGCCCTGCACTGCGCTGCTCAGCCATCCCGCCTGTGGGATCCCCCAGCATCCACACTTTCCCTCTCCTGAGCTTTGCAATAGGGAAAACAAACTCTGCGTGTCCCCAAGCAAGCTGCGCTCGCAGCGAGCCACCTTGTCTCCGACCCTCTGTTGCACCTCACACCACCTGTCAGCAAAAATACCCCAGGGAAAGTAGTACCTGCCAGAGTACTCTGCTGCAGACGGCCCTTGGGACACGTAAGGGAAGGTAAAAATAAGAAAGAAAAAAAAAATTAAAAAAAAAGAAACCCAGACCTAGCAATTATGAGCTACCTTGTCCCCCAGGGTGGTGAGACTGTGCAAGGGCTTCACACCAGATCAACAAAACCTGGCCTACTAGGAACCTCTGTCTTGTGAAGAAGGACGTGAGAGACAGATATCCTGGAGGACTCTCCTTTTGAAAGCAGCAATGCAAGAATAAAGTCCATGGATGCTTACAAGAAATAGATAGGGATGGCTTCAACTGCAAACACGCAAGGGATCATTGCGAAGAGAGGGAAGACAGCAAACTTGAGAGGGGTGAGCCATGCCACTTGCGTCATTTTATGCTGAGCAAAACAATCTCAGAAGATGCTGCTGCTCTGCTCACAGCATTAGAAATGGCAGGGAAAGCACAGTCTGCATGACAGATCCTCCTGAGAGTCAGAGCAGCTCTCCTGGGAACACGTTTTTTGGCTTTGCTTTCTCTGCACTTTCCCCCAGCTGCTGGCTGGGTGGGGAACAGGTGCCAGCACAAAAGAGGGAGCTTAAAAATAGGCCAGAGCAAAATTCTTTCCCCCTCAGCCAGTTTGGCTCTCTTTCCTTTGCTACTTGAGATGATGTTATCTCATGCTATTTCTCCAGCTGTCCAGCAAGTCCACCAGGAAAATCAGGTCAGACAAGATAAGGATTTCCAGGGGGAAAAAAAAAAAAAAAAAAAAAAAGAAATTTTAGCTCAAAAGCTCAGAGGCCCTACTTCTTTAGTGCCAATGAATGGAAGAGCTGCCCTCTCCCCTGCACTCTTGCTTATATGGCCTCACTAGAAAAAGCTCTACAGACATCAGCATAGGAGCTGGGAAACTGCAGCAAGGTTGTTTTCAGGGGAGGACATTGGAACTCTAGGACATGTTGCAGACACTGCTAGCAACTGGAGGTTTGAAATTAGTTGTCTCTAGGAGGCTCAAGCTATAACTGCAAACAAACGTGTGACTAACCAAAAAATGCAAGCAGGGAATTGAAAGTTATGTGTGTTGAGTGTATGCAGGTCTGCTAATGGGCTTTCTGAACCGTTGCCAATTAAAATTACTACGAAATTGATAAAGGATTGTAAAATACAAAGAAAATCAGCTCCCATTCCCACAGCTCGCTGTCGAGCATGCTCTGTGGTTATTATTTGTCTTATAGCAAGCATGGCAAACACACCTCAAAACAGAGCTCATTTCAGTCTCATTCATAAATTTACTAATTTATGAATGAATTAAGTCCTGGAGTAGCTCCTGTATGATGACACCAGCAAGGTGTCATCTTGCTAGGGCAGGCTTGCAAGTAGGCGGTTGGGGAAGGCGCCAGAATAACTGCTCCAAGGCCAGCATTCCCTGGCCTGTGCTGAGCTCGGTCATTCACACTCAAGGGCGTGGAGAAGAGGCTCCAATCACTTTGCTTCGTTCTAACACCACATTACACAGCCAAAATAGTCATCCCAAACGCTGTTTCCCTCGGTGCTGAGCTGCCATAGGCAGATCACACCCCTCCCAAGAAGCTGACTCTGCTGTTTTTCTGTGACATTACATGTCCCTTTCTCTGAAGAACCTCCAAGCTCTTCAAACAGCCTGACTGTCATAAAAGCCCATGCCAGTTCAAGCAGTGTCCGAGGCCAGGGATCAAGTATGAGGCTTCTCACACATGTGGGGAAACTCCCTCGCCAGCCTATGCCCCAGCCTCTCTGTTGCCACACATCAGACGGCTGGAGAGAGCTCAGCGAGGCAGTTTGCCTTTGCCTCTTGAAAGGCTGAGCTACACAGCTGGCACCCCTATGGCACTAGCCAATTAAGTGGTCTCCAATTAGAGCAGCAAGGGGTACCCTGACCAAATTCAAAGCCAAGAGGATGAAAAGCACTCGTGGGGGAAAGCCCAGTGGGACAGTTTCCCACCCAAGGCTGGGGAAATACGTGGAAGGAGACAGCAGGAAGTGATATGCTAGAGCACAGCCCTCTCTGGCAAGGTCTGCCAAGGTCTTCGAGAGGTATGGAGCCATACAGCTCTAGAAAACCAACCCCCCCTCCTCTGCCCCAGCATCCTACCTTTGGAGCTCCCACTGCCTGCGAATGGGCGTCGTGCAGCTGGTCCAGCGCAACACTAAAATCCTCCTCAAGCACTGGGAACCCAGCAGTGCAAAAATCTCTCTCCACTTCCTCATTCAGTCCGCCTGGAAAACTGGCGAGGAAAGAGAAGGGAAGGACTCAGGCTCTGCCCTACTCCTGGCACTACCATGCTGGCTGCAGCCCCTGCCCTCCCCGGCCTCTTGCCCTGTTGCCGGTGCTACCTCAAGGCCTGGATGCGGGTACAAGCAGCCCGGCTGCTGTGGGACAACAAGGCACAGAAATCTCCCAGCACAAAACCCTGTGAATGCGGAAACAAACAGCATCAGTTCAGTCCCTGACCACAGCTCCAGCTAGGTCATAAAAGGTTTACGGGGAAAAGTTCCTCAAAAGTTCCTCGCAGAGGTGTTCTTTGAGCTTCTGTGCCCTGGTTAAAGGCTCTAGCTTCTTTTTTTTTTTTTTTTTTTCTTTTGCCCATCCCTATTGGCTCTGCCTTCTAGCAGAGCTAAGCATCAGCCAACACCTCTGCAAAAGGTGTGCAGTCCTTAGGCACTAGAAATCTGCAGTTAAAGCTGATGTCTGAGGACCAGGGTTAACCACTGAAGAAGCTGACTGGGCTGTGAGAACTGCCCCCTTTCTCCATGGCCAGGTAGGGGAGGTTAGCCCAGTACTCCCAGCCTGCCCATCTCCACATGCTGCTGTGGTTTCACTCACTGCAGTCCTGCGGGCCAGCTTGGATAGGCTCAGTTCTTTGCCCAGAGGCAGACTGGCAGTCAGCATGCTCAGCATCGACTTCCTCTGCTCTTCTGAAGGGGCTTCAATTTTCACCTCGTGAAGGAAAGCAGTCTGCACGTCTGTAGGAACATCCTGGGGTTTGCAGGTTGTGCCAATCACCAGGACAGGGTGGCTGTTGATAAAATGATGACAGTGCATGGCCTCAGCTTTATGGAAGCTTCGCTCTTACACTGCCACCACCCATGCCAAGTTGCTCTTCAATGGCTAGCCTTTCCTCTGAGAAATGCGCACATTGGGCAAGGTGTCTTGCAGCCACTGTCCTCCAGCTTGCCCTTGCGAGCTCTGTTTCTGAGTCAAGGCCCTTCAATCATATCTTATTTCTTCACTTGGTGTCCCCCTCCCCTGTGCCCTAGTATTTGTCATCAGCCTCAAGATTTTCCCAGGGTCCAGCTCCCTTCAAGGATCCCTGCGACCCCTGGCATGCCTCAGAGCCAACACGCCAGGTTTGCTCATCTGAACAACTCAGAAACCAGCTTCAGACAACAAAGCTTCCCGATTCCCTCTGCCACTAAGCTGGAAGAAAATGGCCCTCTGGAGTAAACAAAGCAAGTCTGGGAGAGACTCCACTGGATTAAAAATAAAACAGGGCATGTTAGCAATCAGTTACCTTGATGTAACGGTGACTACTGCCCTAGGAATGGCAGAAGCAAACAATCACCGCAGATGCCCACAGCAAACATGCAGGGTCCATACCTCAGTGCTGGGTCTCTGTCCAGGAGCAGCTGTCTCAGAGTAGCGATGACCCTGGCGTCCTCTCCTAGCCTGTCCCGGTCTCTGCCAAGCAAAAGCAGGAGCACACATGGATGATACTGCTGGGCCTGGGTGAAAGCCATCTGTACTTTCTCCTCTGTGGCTCCACTGGTGTCACTGCACAAACTAACACAATCAACCTGCGAGACAGACCACAGAATGCACAGTCTGCAGCAGTTGCAACGTGGACCCAGGACAATGTCCAATTCCACAAAGCCTTCCAAGGGCAATTCACAGCTGAAAGCAGATCTAAGTGCATTGTTTCCCAGAGACACGCTCAGGACATCATATTCAAAATAGACACATTCAGGACTATGTGGCATGCAAAAATGGCTGTTTCTTGCTTCTTTGCAGGAGGTGAGGGGGGCAGGAGGGTTTTTTTCTGAAATGTGAGGCCAAGGGATCGGAGAAGTCGATACAGTGGATGTCACGCCTCAGGAAGCTAAGCTGGAAGGGATGGGAGAGCCGTGGAAGAGGCCAAGAGAGGGAGAACAAGGTGTCTCGGAGGAACAGTGCAAAGAGCGGAGGGGGAGGCTCGGGAAACTGTTCAACCCAGAGCCACACAGGTTCAAAGTGCAAGAGGAAGGTAGAAAGCAAGGGGAGGCGGAAAGTTAGAAGTGGCTAGAGGCCCAGACACTGTTTACAAAGCAAACACTTGATAAAGTCATCCAAACAGGAAAGGTGACTGGTGAGCCTTGAACAGCAGCTTGAACACTGCTGGAAACAGGCAGTGCTGCCTCCTGGTGCTGCGAGGTCGCACAGGGAGAGCCAAACCATCTCTGGGATTCCCTGGGCCTCATCCTCAGAAAGGGTATCTTGGAGCAGGGAGAACACCTCAAGAGCTGACGTAAAGGGTAAGGACGGGGATGCAGAGCAGAGAAAACTCCTGTGCTCCAAGTAGTATAGACAAAAACCAGGAGTTAGGGTTGTGGAAGACACAGACAAATGGCAGCAGTATCTGTATGCAAGTACAGAAGGGCAAAGAGAAAGGACAAAAACCTGCTGATTGTCAAGTGGTGGAGATTACAGTGTGGAAGAATTACTGTGCCCCGGTAGGAGAGCAGGCAGGACAGTCAGAGGAAAGGAAGAGAAGATGGAATGGTAATATAAGCATTGCAGTAATTGACAAAAGAAGGGGAGAGCGTAAAAGCTGGGATAGGAGAATAAGATGGGACAGGAAATACCTCTGGCTTCGATAGTAAGAGTCTTAGTCTTTAAAAGCAGCACACAAGGCCAAAACCAGAGCCTTGTACATCACACTAGAACCTGAGGCCACCCACCAGGACATGGCAGTGCTCCCAAACACATTGTATTAGAGGATCTGAAAGTACTGCGACATCTCCACAATCCTGTACTGATTGTAATTCGAATCTGTTACTTAATTTTCCTTGGTGTAAGATCCAATCAGACTTGAGATATTTTCATATTCATGGTATGATTTTGGAATAATCAATGTCATGTTTAAGCAAATATTGCCTGATTAATATGATCTTCTCTCCAATTAGAGATTAATAAAGCTACTAATGAGATTTGCATCTCCTGTATTTAATTTAAACATTTATGTGAATTTCAAAAAGAACCCAGGAACAGGCTTCCCATATTTAACAGAAGAGATTTAGGAGCCTTAGAATGAGCAAAACCTCACCTGGACTGTTAGCAAGAGCTGGAATGTACAGCAAGAGCTGTACCATAGCAAAAGCTATGGTACATCTGCAGAAGAGTAACAGCTCAGCACGACTAAGGATCATGTCCTTAGTGGTGCTGAGCTACACAGCAGCTGGCCAAGGCTGTATATACCTCCTTCACTGACCTACTGTTACGGCTTTTTTTTTTAATGTCAACTTAACAGGACCCAACTTCTAATAACTTTCTGACAGGATTCCCCCTTGCAAAAACTACATGGATTCTTCACGACTAGTGAAGTCATCCCAGAGTGTGCTAACTCTATCCTTCACTCTAACCTGCTACAGGTTTGTGCCCTTTGAAGGATGGCTCCTGTTTCCAGCAACTGCCCTTTCCCTGCTGTTCATCTGTTTTGTCTTCCATTTCGTTTTCTCAAGCCCATCCTAATATGATCTATGCAGTGGCCTCTTGTGGAGCGGTGTCCTTCATTTACTTCCACAGCAGATGTAGCGCTTTCTTATCTTGGCTGATTCTTTCTAAAGAAACCTCATTTTGATGTTGTTCCCCTTTCAGAAGCCAAGCACTGCTATGGAAGATTTGGGGGCTTTTTTGCTTTCGTGGGAGGTTATGGTAGTGAATGTGTATGCAGTTATGGGGCAGATCTACTACAGGCCTTGAGATTTTGAAACAGATCTGACACACGTGCTGTTATCAAATAAAGGGCTGCATTCCTTTTCCAGGCTTCCCACCCAGCTAGAGAAGATCTCAGCATCATCTCTGCCTCACTTTCCAACATGCCTTTTGCCCAGCCTATGCAGGGACAAGTGAAAACATCCAATGCCACTGCAATTCCTACCCTCATCACCTCTCCAATTTCTGTCAGTATATTTTAGTTACTGCCACCCTCTGGAGCATAGCATCAACTCAACGTCCCATCAAATGACAAGAAGTTAGTCTAGTGAAATATAACTGTGTATTACAGTATCTGTAAAGTACATCAGGCTGACAACAATAATAGCAAGAGTCAGTAAAGAAAGGTACAAATGCAACCCCTGGGCCAAGAGATCTCTAAATTACTGATTCCAGAGCACTGGAGGGAAACATCTCTTCATGCTTACGCTCTCTTCCTGAGTATCTGTTACTGACCAGTCTCAGACACGAGCCAGGGGGACAGACAGGCCTTTAGGCTGATCCCAACAGTTGCTCTGAGGTTCTGCCCACAGCAGCCATAATCCATGCCAGAGAAAGCTACTATGCTCAAGCATACTTGGAATCCTTTTGTCTGCTTGTGTGCATGGGAGCAGCTTCTGGGTAGCTTCGTGTCACAATTGCAGCACGGGAGTTGTCATGGCTAACTTAAAGAACATTTCCATAATTCTTTTTGTGTTGTAAATCCACCAATTAACTGACTGCAGGAGGAATTACCTTGAAGAGGTGGAGGTTGAGGCAGCTACACACGGCTCTGACGGCCACCAATTTCCCACTGCCGCTTGGCCCTGAGAGGAGAACGCTGCCAGCCCCGCTCAGTGCACTTGCCCTGTAACACAGAGGCAGTTCTCCCAGTGATCAGGGGTTAGGGTCCCAGCTCTCCCGGTGCTTGCTAGAAGGAATTCTAACTCACGGACTGTTCAGGTGAGGTCGAAGAGCATCACAGAGCTGCTTCACAACATCAGAAAGTCCAGCAGGAGACAAACTGCTCCAGAACTCATGGCAGTTATAGGCTGGGGCAGATGGGACAGCGCTGTTTGTTGGACCCACCTGTGAGGACAGGAAAACAGTGCTCTGTGAGACACCGCCTGAGAAAAGACATGTACCAAGTGACAAAGTCTGTCCTGAAATGCCATTTTTCAATGGCAGGAGACACAAGCCCCCACAGGCACCTTCATCATCCATAGTGCAACCTCAGCCTCAGATCTCTTATACACCCTCCCTGCTCTCCAATGACACCTTACCAGATAGAGAGAGGTGTTCTGGGTGTCCACCAGGTAACCCTCAGACTGCTCGCCTTCCACCGTGCCCAAAATCTTCCTCACTTTGAAGTAGAGTTCTGGCCACCTAAGGGAAAAAGGAAGCAGTCTAAATTGCTAAGTCAAGATCTTGAAGGCGGGAATAATACAGTTGTCAACAAGAAGACAGCTGAAAAGCACAGGTAAGCAGAGATACCCTTGCCCTCTCCCAGGGCCCACATGGATCCTTTACAGACCCCACCGTGCTGTCTAGCCAGACAGACCAACAGGACTGTCAACAGTTACAGCTTCTGCTGGTGGCTTCAGTCCACAAGTACACCTGTACTAATCTTATTTCATCTATCTAAGAGCTCAAGACGTTCTCTCTTCTGCCATCGCTACCTTCACTACAACTCGCAGAGATTAACCTGCAGCCTCCAAAACCTTACAGCGCAGAGTCCTCTACGCTGCAGACTAGGACTCACCCAAATACCATGAAAGCTTTACAAGCATCCTGCCCTAGATGCAGGAAAAATGCTTCTTCCTACATTGATATCCCACTGGACAGGTTAAGGAATCTGCAGAGGTTTCCTCCAGGATTTTCTCCACCCTATGAATAATTGTACCACTTGAACACCAACACAGTTCTAAGCTCTTTAGGTCCCACGAACTTTGTTGTCTTCTCTGGCTTGCCACAGGGCGCTATAAGTCCACAAATGGAAGACCTGTGCCTCCTGTGGTCCTGCCTCCCTCTGAGAAACAGCCTAGAAAATACTCATCTTTTTCCCCATCAATTTCTGTCTCTTTCCTTTCTTCACGACTATTTCAGTGAGTTAAGGGAGGCCTCCCTCTGAGCTGCAGCCTTCTGTAATCTAACAAAAACATTTCCCTCTCCCCCAAAAAATAAAAGACAAACTCTAAACTCCAAGGAAAGATCAGAACAGAATAAACTGCTTTGTTTCAAGTGAGTAAGTAGTGGAAAAGTATCTTTTTCCTTGCAGTACCCATGTAATAGAGACACAGTTTGTTGCCACGCACCTTAGGAATTTGTCTGTATTTACTTCTAAAAACTCAGCATATCCAAATGTCGGAACACATAGGATGTCTCCCTCCTGGACAAGCCTACAAAATAAAACAGGGAGTTTTACTAGTGAAAGTGAGTAAATCCTTCTGGTTGTGTGTCCTCTCCACCCCATACCACATGCATTTTCACTGAAGAGGCTGTAGCTATTCATAATGACTCGCTCCTTTCCTGTAAATAAAACCATAAACATCCACATAAAGATTTAGCATGCACTGGCTGCGAGTAGATGCAACCCCCTACTATGGGGAACCTTCTGGGAATGGTATAGAAGATGAATGCCATTAAAGAGTGTCTCTTCCAGAGCAAATAAACTCCTTATCCCTGAAACAGCTGAGTATCATTCCAACAGAAAGCTTTGACAGCCACATGAAAGAGGCTTGGAGGCAGGTGTCATAAGAGAAGAAGGCAACAAAGTTTCCCGATTACTCAACTTCATTCAACCTGAAAACTGCGGTTACAAACATGCCTGAGAATGGAGGTTTGCGGGCAGCACTTGGGAGCCCTCAGCATTGGATGGCAGATCACGAGGATGACTTCTGAAGGACAGGACAAGAGAGGTCGGGTGCAAGTGAAGCACACTCACGAGGAGAAGACGGTACAAGTGGATATTCTAAAACTACTCAGCATCTGCATTACGGTGTTGATCATGCACATCATCTGTGTGTATCAGATCTGGGTGCCACAAACACAGACCAAAGGCGCATCTCACCAGCACACAGAAACGTGTCCCCTCCCCACGCAGCTCACCGGGGCGTTTGGAAGTGCTTGTAGAGAACGCGGTCGTAGCCCGCCCGGGCGCTGTAGGCCGGCGAGCAGACGATCTCTAGGTGCAGCTCCTTGGCGAAGGGGGGCACGGACAGCACGGACCGGCTGCCCTTCCCGTTTGCAGCGCCCGATCTCTCGTACCTCTGCAGAGGGGAAAAGACGCATCGTGAGACCCCGCCGCCATCCCCGCCCACCACCCCCGCCCCGGG